AAAGAAAAAGAATAACCAAAAATGAGTCAGTTAAATAGATTTTTGAGGAGGGAGGGGAATTTGGTTATAGGACAGAGTGAGTTTGCCTTGATCAGGAAAAGGGATGAGCTTTGCCTGGTAGTTTATAGGAGAGGTGTTTTGAGAATATGCAAAACAGCTTCTTATTACTGTTTGTTTCTTGACTTGAATGGGTCAAGAGTGGGTTGGTGGAGAAGGACACACCTGCTTGCCTTGAAAAGCTCGCAGACACAAATAACAGCTCAGCATTTTGGTGAAGAGGAGGACACTGAGAAATTCTCAGAGCCAAGAACAAAGAATTCTTTTTGCAAGCCTAGACAACAGTAAGAACCTATTGAAGTCTGCAGTGAAGTGGGTTTTTAAAAGGAAGGAAAGAAACCCTTCAGTTTGGGAAGGATTCAAGAGATGGTATAAATAACGACAGTAACACCTAGGCAGGTCTGTTCCAAGGACCCCACACTGTATTATTTGACTTGACCATGGATTTTTCTTTAATTCCCTAAACTGCATGAGGTTTGGCCTGAAATTTCAGATCTGTGTTTGTGCCAACTGCATTGTCCTGACAGGCTAAACACCTGACTTTGGGCTAAGCTTTAATTTTACATGAAACATCTATATGCCAACTATTGCTCTTCCAGCAACTGTTTCAAAAGGAAACAAACCAGGCAAGTGGCTTAAAGAACTGTACACTTCTACCCTCCTGAAAAATTGTTAAATTGTGGATTTTGAGCAGACAGGAGTGTCTGGTTTTAGTTCAGACCTACCTGTTGAAGCTGTTACGTAGGAGAAGCCTATCCCTGTCTTACTGTTCCCTTGCCTTTTTTTTTTTTTTAAGAGGAGACTCTACATAGCATGTTGGAGTTAATTTTTGATCACACAGCTGACACCTGACCTGTACATTTTTGAGGAAACTTAATAATTCTTATTAAGAATTAATAAGACCCATACACCTGACCCATACAGTACTAAAACTTAGTAATTCAGTTTTAGTACTGTATGGGTTAGGCATTTGAAATCTAGACATTGTAACACCTAATTTGAAGCACTTTTAAATCCTTTCAGTGGATTAAAACTTGGAATGTTAAAGATTCCAGTGCTGTATCAGTCCTGTAGTGTCACGCTGCAGTAGTTAGCTGATGCTAGCTGTGTGCTTTTAGGTGCTCGTTCAGGTGAACCATAGGCATCTTTTTTTCTAGTTTTTAGAGAGGTTCTTTTAACACTGTCATCTGGCAGAGCTTTTAATAATTCTGATCTCCACAAATCAAGTTTTAATTAAACTATTAAATCAACTGCAATTTATTGCTGTAAAGGTTTGCCTGTTAAAATGTTCTGGGGTAGGGATTAAGCCATACTGAGACGTGAATTTTCAGTGCTGTACATAAAAAGCTGTTATTTAGTTCTAGCTATTTTTTTCCATGTAAGAGAGGGGGTTCAGGAACAGCAGCGATGTGTAGTAACGTTGCAGTCATGACCCAGATGAATGAATCTGTGCTCATAGGATTCAATTATCCCCATTTCAGCTCGAGGAATTGTTGTGAACTAGAAATGCCAGACATCTAGAAACCAGATGCTGCAACTGATTTTTGTTACAGTTGGTCTTGAAAGTGTTTGTCACGAAATGGGCAGATCTTAGGACAGGCTGTGACTGTTGACTGCCTTGTTTCAAAGGGACTTTTGGAAAGAATGTGGCCCTTTTTCCTCCCCTCCCTTTTCTTCTGTCTGCTGTCACCAGTCTAGGAAACTGAGAATGTATAAACTGAATTTGTAAATGTCTTTGGCTTCATTTTGCAGATTATGAGGACAGGTCCTCGGGTTCCTCTGCTCCTCCAGGAGCACTTGTCAAAGCAGATCTCCCTGTCAGGGCTTTGGGGACTGTAAGGGAATGATTTGGAGGAAGAGAAGGGGAAAGAGCATAGAGAGACAAGAGAGAGAATACTTAAATACCATATTCTGAAAATGATGTGTGTTGTAGTATACTTGCATGTCATGGTATTGATTTATCTTTCAGTTTTCAGGGACTTTTTATTATCTTATGTATTTTCTGAATTTAAATGTTCTAATAATTAATGCTGACTCAGAGATTCCAACTAAGATTTTCACATACAGCTCTTTGGGCAGCTAATGTGAAAGTTTTATTTTAGAATTGTTAATAATTTAATAGCCATTAAACACATGCACTGCCATACTTCACTACCTTTACTTTTGTCTTATAATTTTGCCATTGAAATACCCAGCCATTTCAGTAGATAGAGAACATGTGAAAAAACTTTTAGTTTCAAAGTGCTGTACTAAATGCCTTTGTTGCACAGTAATAGCACAAGCATTTTAAAGTTCCAGGAATTTATGTAGGTTAAAATGTAAATTTGAGAGGAGGAAGAGTTTCCTGTAGCTTTCAGATAAGTCATAGATGCCATTTAGAATGCTGAAATCTTCTATATCTTTAATAAGGCTATTGCTAAAAAAAGAGATGTTTATTATCTTGGTTTATGTGTTTGTGGAAGAATGTCTTGAGCGTGTTAGAGTGCTGAACATGTGAAAATATTCAGTCCTAAGAGCTGATGGAAAGATTCTTGGGTCAGTCTCCTGCTGGAAGTGGCCTTCTGAAGAACTGAGAGTTATTTGTTTGATCTTCTTAGATTTTTTCTCTCCTGTTTCTATCACGCTTGCAGTCCTGTTTGTCAAAATGCATAGATAATATCTTGAAGCTATGAAGACAGTTATAGCTCTCTGGTGAAAGTGGAAGCGGTTTCCATGTTGTCTTGATGCTGCTTTCCAGTAGATCTTCAGAAGCAAACGAGCATCCAGCAGTGTTCCTCAGGTGTCGGTTAGCACAGCATCCCTAACGCTGGGTTAACAGGTTTCCCACCTTTTGCAGCACTAGGGGCTCTGCCACATGCTCCTACTGCCCTAACTAGAGTTACAGAGCATCCAGCAACGTTGTCTGATCATCTTTCTCACTGCATAATTCCAGTCTTGCTCCTTAAAGTGAAGGAAACAAGATTGTTTAAACTGTGATCTGCAAGAAAAATTCCCCAGACTTTGCTCCCTTTTCCTTGAAGGGATGAGCAGACAGGAGATCATAGAGTCATAGAGTGGTTTGGGTTGGAATACACCTTTAAAGCTTATCTAGTCCATCCACCCTGCAGTGAGCAGGGACACCTTCAACCAGATCAGGTTGCTCAGAGCCCCGTCCAACCTGACCCTGAGTGTTTCCAGGGATGCGGCTTCTTCCACCACCTCTCTGGGCAACCTGGGCCAGGGTTTCACCACCCTCAGCATAAACAATTTCTTCTTTATATCTAGTCTGAATCTCCCCTTTTTTAGTTTAAAACCATCACCCCTTGTCCTACGGCTACAGACCCTGCTAAAAAGTTTATTCCTCTCTGAGATGCTGACCTGTGAGAACTGGCAGCTCATGTGCTCGCCCTGGGCTCCCCGACAGCCCTGGGTTTGCTTTCCCCAGCTGGACTGGCTGCGTGTGGGTCAGGCACCAAAGGCTCACCCACGTTCTGAGCAGGAGATGGGACAGGGGATGGGTGTTTCCGTGTCTGGCCTGTAGTAGCCTCTCTAAGAGGCTCCATGGTCTTTGCAAGCTGGAAGATGGAGAATCTCTGTCTTAATCCAATAAAGGTTGGTGTAGGGGGACTAGTTTTAGTTTTAGTTTCTGTTAACTGATTTTTTTTTTAGCAAGCTGGAATAAAGGCTGGTTGTAGGGGAACTAGTTTTAGTTCAGTTTTTTGTTAATTTTTTTTCCCTCTGTATTTCTCCCTTTTTCTGTAAATTAAGATAGAATTGAGTTAAAACCCCTGCTTACCTCTTTAAACACTAGGTACCTGTGGAAAAAGAGTCCTGTAAATAAGCAAAAGTATTAATTGCAGGAGGTACAGGTTTATTTAGCAAAACAAAAATGCAGTAATGTGGACGATGGAACTGCATTATTTCTTTTGACCATAAGTGCATCTAGATGTAATTCTGTATAATACAGATTTTGTAACCAGTTTGCAAACCCACTAGTAAAATTCACGAGGGAAGCATTGAGATTGCTTAATGAAAAATACCAAAATCTCCTGGTGGATATGCTGGTACCCTCAACAGCATTAGCAAATTAATAAAGTACCCATAACTGAAGTTTAATATCTGGTGTTCTTTTCTGTGAGTGCACTTAAAAACAAATTTTATTGTGTCCCATGATAATTTGACTGGTTTCTGTAAACAGCACTCTTTAATGACCTATTTGTTTATGTTTGTATTGCTGAGCTTTTAAAAACTGTAATAAACCCACCATTTTAGAATTATGTATCAGTGTCCAATTGACTTTCAGTTTTAATGTTGACTGAAAATTAAATCTCTTCTGAAAAAAAAATAAATAATCTAGCTTTACTTGTGAGATTGGAAGGAACTGGGTTCCTTTCTTTGAAAATTAAATCTCTTCTGAAAAAAAAAATATATATATATCTAGCTTTGCTTGTGAGATTGGAAGGAACTGGGTTCCTTTCCTGGTATTTAGCACTAAGAGATTCTGTAGGTCATCTTAGGGTTATCGTGACGTGTTTTATAACACTTTGATAATTGTTTTGGTTTGGGAAATGTGGAGGAAGCTGCTGGTTTATTGCTGGTCAGAAGTGGGTAATGAAAGTTTTTCCTTTTCTGACAAATAGTTTAATTCTCTAGTCACAATAATTATGGAATATATATCCTTTTTTTCTCCTAATAATTATACTCTGCTTCAGTCCTCGCTTGATTTTGTGTTCTTGCTCAGCAAGATAGTAAGTGGCTCCCTGCCTCTTTGATATTTGGTAACTTCAAAATGTGCCCTCAAGAACTGTTTGGAAAGCAAATTCTTGTGTGTTGTACATTCGTATCAAAATCTTCCGCTGAGATGTTTTCTTCATCTTCACCTATTCTGCAGTACACTAACATTTTCTATGGCTATTTTCAGGTTACTGAACAGTGCTCTCTCAACATAGGTATAAAGTGACCAAATGACGATGAGTCGAATGAGAAGTGAGTGACGATGCGTGGGCAGGGAGATGGAGTTATTCCAGAGTACAGCAGATTCTCCTCTGGTTTTAATTCTTGTATTCAGCATTTCTGAACTGTCTTAATCCAAGGAGCAATGACACTGGAATTTTAGAAATTCAACTGGAAAGATACACAAAGACCCACTTGAATAGGCATCGCTGCACTTTTTTTTTTCCCTTACAGCAGAAGAGAAATTAGGTTAAAGTTAAAGGAAAATAAAAGTAACGTAGTACTTTTTAGTCCTATTTACATGTCTGTAAATCATTCCACAGGTTGTTCTGCAGGAATTTTCTGGGCTACCAATTACTCAAGGATCATAGAGTGTAAATATTCTCATGCAGTGTGTCAATGTAGAGCTTTTTTTTCTTTTTTTAATCCCAGTATATTCCATTTTTATGAATTAGGCAAGTCACTGTTGCACCCACTGTACAGAATAGTTTATTGTAACTGACAACTACTGAAACTAATTTCGCAGAATGAGAGGTGCAGCTGATCACAGCTGTTCAGAAAGTCACCAGGCAGTGAATATAGGTTTAAAACCAAACATCAGAAGGGTATCAGTACTGTCCTTAGCTCAGCTCTGCTTGTTTTGAGTGAGCACACAGCTGGTGGAATTCTCTGATTTGAACTCAAAGCAGACAACCCATGGAAGTTCTTTGTGGTGTACAAATTCTGGGCTTTCCTATTAAAAGAAAAACCAAAAAAACCCCCAACCACTATGCCTATTTTTGTCTTCTGCATCTAAAAGATTGAGGTGCATCTAAAATCTGGCATGGGGAAACAATTTTCAGACTGTGAAATTCTGCAGCTGATGTTTCAAACTCTGGTTTTTTCCAGAATATATTCTCACACAGTTCTGTTGAAGTCTTGCAGCCTCCTAATCTGCACTTCCTGCCTGAATGTCACTGGAATGCGTTTTTCTTGGTTCCAGCATCACCTTGTCACGGGGTGAATCATAATAACTTGTGGTGAAACTTGAGGCTAGTTCCCAAGAGAAACAACTACTGCTATTTCTAGCGTGATATTCGTTGTACCTCTAATATCCTAGTTCACTAATGGGTTTCATTGCACTGCTGTTACAGAACTCTTTGGGTTATAGTTTGTGTTTAAAGAATGTATATTAATTGCAAAATGTGCACTTAAATAATACAAAATTAGACATCTGTGTTATTTTCTAAGCATTCAACTTATATGACACCTTTCAAAGAATTGCTCCCTTGCTCCCTTCCCAGGAAAATCAGCAATATATTTAAACACAGAGGTAGCTGTTACACAGGTTTCAGGCAACAGTTTTGAACTTGCCACTCAGTTGTATGTGAAATCATTTGTTTGTTCATCAGCGTACTCCATGGTAAAAATAATTTGCAACCCTTTCCCCCCACTGCTTTTGGTAAATTTTAGTCTGTCACTCAATTTAGAATAAACTTTAAAATTATTTTCTAGGTCAAGAAGTGGTGTTCAAGTGCCTTGGAGAAGGAATTCTTGAAAAGGCCTTTCAGGGATATAACGCTTGTATTTTTGCTTATGGACAGACAGGTGAGTCTCCTGTGCTAAAGGGGAAGAGCACTTTTTGTGCACATGGGCAGTGAGAAGAACAAAACACAATTAGTAAGCTAAATAATATCTCAGAATTGTGTTTTGAAATAGCACAATGTAAAACGTCAAACATTTAGCACAGCCAGGGACAATGTAAAGTTCTTAAAGTAACTCTGTGAATATGTTCCTGGGTACTACCTGTTCCATCTGCTTATGAAGCCTGAAGGGAGTAGTTCATACTGAAGCTCATTCACTCTTGTGTTTGAGTGTGTTCAGAAGGGTCCCAACTAATGGTCCTGCTGAGGATAATGTACCTTTTTGTTTACCTCGTAGTGCAAAGAGCAAGCTACCTGTCTGGAATAGCATGTCGTATTGTTCTCATATGTGCTTCTGGAGGAATAAAAAGAGAATTAAAACCTGTGCTTCATGAACAAATGAGTAGCTCAGAAACTACAGTCTAAAGCATTTTCTTCTCCTTTTTTCCTTCAGGTTCAGGAAAATCCTTTTCAATGATGGGCAATGCAGAGCAGCTGGGTCTGATCCCACGGCTCTGTTGTGCTTTATTTCAGAGAATCTCTGTGGAAGAAAATGAATCTCATACTTTTAAAGTCGAAGTGTCCTATATGGAAATCTACAATGAGAAAGTCAGAGATCTGCTTGACCCAAAAGGGTGAGTAGCTTCACTCTCTCCCACAACCTTCCTTATTTTGGTCTGAAACTATAAAAATTGGAAATGAGGTTTGGAAGGTTTTTTCAGAATGCATGTTTATACGACTTCTTCAGAAAGGATTAGATACCAAACACCAGAAAGAAGAGAATATGCATGTAAAGCTTGTATATGAAGTAGTAACTGGTATGGATCAATTTAAATATTGAGATATTGTTTGCATAATGATGCAAACAAATACTCTATGAAGTGGTTTAACACCAGAAAGCAAGACTACATCCAAGTAAGTTCTGGGTTTTTTTGCCATGTGATCCAGACCGTATTCAGGTAAGAATTTTCATCAACTAGAAGGAGTTTGAAGCTTATATACAACTCTGTTCTCCTGGTTTAGGTGTCGAACTTTTTGAGTGTGGAAATGTAACACCTCAGAATATACACACACAGGGCACTTGTTCTTCCATTTTGCCTACAAGGAAATGCTGGTTAGGCTCTCTGACTTGCCTAGACATGGTGTAGTTTTTTTGACTGAGCATTGATATATGTGGTATATATTTTTATTCTTGAACATAATTGCACTAGGTGAAGAAGTGTACAAGCTACTTAAAAAGGTAGATTTGAGACTTACTTGATATATGTCAATAAAGTGTGGAAAATGCAAGAAGAATTGAAGCTTTAGCAAATTGCTGGGGGAGGGGGAAGGATTTTTGGTTTCTTTTTTTTCAACATTCTTTCTGACAAATAAGACATTTCAGGTTTTGTTCCAGCCACAAATACTGGAGTGGGAAGAGGCATTAAATATAATTTTTATATATAGATTAAAACTGGTTAGATTGAATTGAGTCTTTATTGTTAATTTGAGTTATAAACAATTCTGGAACACTTTTTTCGTCCTGTTACAATTAAAAGACACGAGTTGATTTCTGCTATGTAGAAGAATCTTATCATTTCATACTATAATTATTCAGTAGTTTTTCAGTAAAGTTCACACTAGTGGATTGTGCATAAAGTCTACTTTATTCCACAGGAGTCGTCAGTCCCTCAAGGTTCGAGAGCACAAAGTGTTGGGACCGTATGTAGATGGCCTGTCTCAGCTGGCTGTTACAAACTTCGAGGTAAATCTCAACCAATGACAACTTCATCAATAACATATTAGGAAGAAGTTCTTCACTGTGAGGGTGGTGAGACACTGGCCCAGGTTGCCCAGAGAAGCTGTGTCTGCTCCTCCCTGGAAGTGTTGAAGGCCAGGTTGGATGAGGCTTTGAGCAACCTGGTCTAGTGGAAGGTGTCCCTGCTGATGGCAGGGGGGTTGGGACTGGATGATCTTCAAGGTCCCTTCCAACCCAAACCATTCCATGATTCTATGATTCTGTGATGATCTACGTACATAAGCAATAGGAATCTTATAAGAAATAAACTAATGTCTCTCCAGACATTTTGGTTCTTGAGTGTTTATGGTCTTTAGCAATCTCAGCAAAGATCTCTAGTGCTTCAGGATTATTTATTTCATGTAAAAGGATTGGATTTGCCATTATGTTGGTTAAAAATATAATAGTGGTCTCTCTTTATTTTACAGTTTTCAATGCATATAGTGTACACCAAGAAGGCAATATTTCCTTTAGACAGGAAACATGAGGCTTCCAAAATAGGAATATTAGTCTTCCAACATGAATTCCTTCGATTTTGTTGTTGAATATGACCTCTTATTTTATAGAACTATATTGCATGAGGAGCTACAACATGGCTTATATAATGTATAATTTAAATTATGACAGCATCTGAGCCCACTTGAGTTACCAAAACACATTGGAATAAATCAGTATTGTAGAAGCCAATGAACTGCTATAGCTACAGTGAAAATAATAGAAGTGGTGCAGTTGCATGAATTGCGTAGGCCTTTCTTTTTATGAGGAGGCTGATTTGGAAATGTTTTTTAAAAAATGTTCATTCTCTGTGTAGTATTATGTGGGAACCATTTTTTTTTTTTTAATGGAGATTTTTATTTTTCTGAAGCATCTGTGCATGTCAGAGTTCTAAAAACTGCTTTTGCAGCTTTGGTGGCGAGTGGTGTACTTTGAAAGCGTACCTTCTTCATTTAAATTCTTTGTTCGTACCTAGTTTTTGGCTGATGACTTTTATGAAACTGCCTTGGAAGACTTGGCAAGCACATGTATCAGACTTGGCATAGATGTCTCTTTTTACATAGATGGGAAGGTACAGGCTCCAAGTGAGGTAATAACCCTTTGAGCCAATTAAGAGAAGATAGTGTTAGTAGAGTTCAGTAAAGAGACGCATTGTGTTCACTTGTGTAAGTAGATCTGTGCTGGCCTGATTACTGGCATTAAATAATATGATTTGTCATGTGGATGTTGCCAACATATTTCAGCAGCAGATAAAGAGGATGTGCATTGAATATAGTTGCTGGGCTTTTAAGCACAATGCTTAGAACAGAGATGTGATTTAATGTCATTCTGTGGAATTACACACCCTCTGTACCGACACATCTCAAGATTTGCAAAGAAATTTCTCATTATTTCTGCCTTCCCTTCTTCCTCCCTCTCACACGTACACACCCTTCCATCTAGATGTGGGTTTTGTTCAGCAAGCACAATACTTGCTTTTATCCTAGCATCATTTTTTACTCTTTTTGCTCTAGGATATTGAGTCACTGATGTCGGAGGGAAACAAATCACGAACAGTTGCTGCAACCAACATGAATGAAGAAAGCAGCCGCTCTCATGCTGTGTTCAATATTATAGTGACTCAGACACTTTATGACCTGCATTCTGGTGTATGTATTTCTGTGAATTTAATTTATGAAGTTGTGGTGAATTCTTCTTCTTCCCTCCTTTTCCACATACATTATCTGTTCAGATGTGCTTCTGCTTTTAAGGCCATGAGGTCCAGTAATCGAAGTAATATTGCAAGACCATGAGCTTGAGAGAACCTTGGAAGAGTGAGGAAGCGCACAAGATAAAGCACACAGATCACTTTTTAAGATTATATTGCCATTATGAAACCTGTCTTAGGTCTTAACTGTTGCTGAAGTTGGCATGTTTTAATGGCCTGCTCTGCCAGTAAGGTTATTGATGTTACCACACAGCTGATTCTGGTTCCTTAGTGCTTCCACCCTTTACTATAAAATATATGAGTAACTCTTAGAGCTGTACAAACTCTTGACAATTCCTTCCTCTCTCATACCCTGAATTTGATACTTTAACCCACATGATTATGAACAGTGTTTCATGGTACCAGTGTCAGACATGTTAGTGCTTGGTGCTGGTTGTTTCTTAGCTGTTGTTCTCCCATGTTCCATCTGTGCAGAATTCTGGAGAGAAGGTCAGCAAGGTCAGCCTGGTGGATTTGGCTGGCAGCGAGAGAGTGTCCAAAACAGGAGCTGCAGGAGAACGTCTGAAGGAAGGCAGCAACATAAACAAGTAAGACACTGGCATATGCAGGTTTGCAAAGCTTCATCTTGTAAGAATCACTGTTGTTTCCTTGGCCTCCTCTCTTGGTGTGCCTGTCACAAGTCAGTTGAAATGAGAGACCTCATGAGCAGCAGTTTGATACGGCTCTTTCAGCTGCTCTGTGCTGAACACCGTGTGTTTCCTTACATTGGCGTAGGGACCCTGATTCATACTTGACTCAGATGAGGGCTAGATGAATTTTATCTGGAAAAAGTGACAGCAGCACTCTTTAATTAAGCATATACCTTTTGTGATTCATTTATACACCCTGTCCCCAGGCTCATGTGTTTGTCTCATCATTTGCTTAAGGAAGAATGCAGAGTTGCAGAGTTGAATGGCTTTGTTCCAACTTGTATTAAAATATGTAAGCGTATAATTCACAGTTTAAGAAAACCAGATCAGAATGAAGCTGTTTTGGTTTAGCATTGCCTTGGGCATTTGCACTCAAGCGATGACAAGTTTCAAGGCACTTTTTTTACTGTAATTACTGTGTTATTGCCCAAAAGCAAGAATTTAGCACACTATTACTACTGCCTTAAATATACTAATTTTCCTGGGAAAGAAGGAGTTTAACTGTTACATTAAAAGCTACTGCTTTTTCAATTTAATTTTAAAATATTACAAAATGTTTTGATATTTTCAGTTAACAATGACAGCACAAAGAGTGTTTGAACAGCATTTATGCTTAAAATGATTTTAAATTACCTCTTTTTAGACTTTGAAGACTTTAGACTGTTTACTCTTTCTAGCTTAATTCTAGTCTACTTTGTGTTGAATGCATCATATTGGCAGCCACGCTGGGCTGGCGTGGTCCTTGTGAAACAAAAAGGATGCGGCTCTGTTTGCCTAATGACATGTATTGTACCTTCACCCCACACGTTACAACTTAAATTCAGGTTACTTTTGCTAGAAACTCTATTTGTATTTTGCATAAACAAAGGTGAAATTAAATGTTTCTTTCTATTTCTCAGGGAAGAATTCAAACGCCAACTCTCCAAGAGCTATTAACAAATTGCAAGTGTAGCTATACATACAGAAAGGCTTATTTTTTTCTTTCATGTTTACTCAGTGTTAAACTTTTACTGTGTCAGTGCAGCAGGGGAAGGTTGTTTTGCCTGTACTGAACCTCTTTGACAAGATTTCATATGCAAGCACCAAACTTTTCTGTAAAAGATATTTTCAAAAGAAAAGTGGATAGCTCTACATTTTCCCATCAGTTAAAGTTTTTACATGGTATAAATCTGTATTACTTAGTCCATTTTTTAAGTATTCTCTATTTACAGTCTCTTTTGGAACTGATAGTCAAGAGAATTCTTAGTGCTGTGGCTGGTGTCTTCTGTTAGATTTTTGCTGTTACCTGGAGCTTTAATGAGTTTTAACCTTTACTTAAAGCTTCAAAAGTGGTACACATGCTTAATCAGACTAGTTCTTCAGAGAACATTGTCTATCATCCTTTGGGTGTGATGCACCTTACTTAGTACAGAAAGGCAATAATCTTTTCTGGAGTGATACATTATACTTGAACTATCTACCTTACTATCTTAGCTCCTTTTTTTATTCTTTTATTAAAAAGCAGTAAGTTGGATTGGTAACATGCGCTATGCTTAATGAGATAAAAAATGGAGCTGCTGAAATCACCTGGCAGATAAATTTGCTGCTTCCACTATGTTTCATTGCCTTGAAGAAGAATGTGGAAAATAACATACCTGTTTTATTTACAAGGCAGATAGGCTGTTAGAATGTTATCAGGGGAATGTTTTCTTATTTTTTTAACATAGTTTCCAATGGTGAAAAAACCAAAAGCAAATAGAAACATACACCCATCTCTGTGTGTGTCACACCAAAACCGCGTAGTGTGACACTCAGCCAGTCTCCACAGGTTTCTCTGCTCTTTGTTTTCTGCATAAAACCTGGCTAGGGCTTTGGTAGCTGTTGTTTCTGTCCCACAGCTCATCCTCTTGTAAAGGCTCTTTCCTACTCGGCATAGCAGGTGGCAGAGGGGAGGCGATGGATTGCTCTCCCACTTACAACAGCCAGTTGTTCATTTTGTTAACAGCTCCATTAAGCTGTAATAAAGGTGACTTCTGTTTTTTTCTCAGAGCTGATGCTGAGTTGTTTTGGTGAAGGTGCTGGGTGTCTGCTCTCTTTATTATCGAGGTTTTGGGAGGACTTGTCATACCTCACAGGAATGCTGGATGTGCTTGTTCTTCCCCAGGATGTGCTAGTTCCCATGCCCAGCATAGAAATGCGGGCGCTTAACAACTCTTTGTGGTGTAGTCAAAGAATTTCTAGAATACAATAGTAGGAGGAAGCAGAATAAACAAGCTGTCAATTAGTGGCTAAGAAAAAGACTTTCTATGAGCAGTCTGCAGTTTTAACTCTGATTAGTAAAATCAGAGCTGTTGTAATTTTAACAGAAAGAAGCCTTTAATTGGAGGCAGGGAGGAAGGAATAGGTTGGGACAGGTCAGGCTCCAAGCTGATTTTTAGGGAGGATTTTTGTATTCAGAGTTAACTAATAGAAAGGTGGATTCTGCTCATTGAAGAATTTGGTTGTAAATTGTACAGAAGCAGCTCGAAGGGGTGTCATTTAGGGATAGAGTTGTTCCCTGTGGCGAGGAAGCACCATGCTGCTGGCTCAGGGCTGTGGTGGGAACGTGTGAGCTTCCCACCGCTCACCAGCAAGGGCAACCTGGCCATGCCTGAGGAACAGGGACCAGGAGAAGAGAATTTGTGCACAAATGGCACTTTCCAATGCTCTTCCACCACAGAAGTTCTCTGCTGCTTCTGAACAGCTTCAGCCTGCCACGTGCTACGGGCTTAGGCCTTCTGGTTGATTCATTATACAAGTAGTGTGAGATAGGATCAAAGCAATGACAGATCTCTGATGCATCATTTCGCATGAAGCAAAGCAGCTGGTGAATCCTGTAATTATTTTGTTGGGCAGCCATTTCTTTTACTGCTTTCCTAAAGTCTTTAAACGGCTTTGTATTACGAAATCTGAAGGAGAATACATAAATGACTCCAGTTCGGCTTTTATTGCAGATGTTAACAGTTAGTCTTAAAATAAAATCAGTATTTATAAGGAACAGAAATATTATCACATCTTTTAATCCTGTGTTAATAAACTGTAGCTTATAATTTCCTGTTCATTAAAATACAGTGCCCGTAACTCAAATTGGTGCTGCAGCCCTGTTGTGAAATAGTTTTCAGTGATAAGCCCTTTTGAATCCCTGTTCTTCCCACCCCCCTTCTGAGTGTCCTTTTCTTCCCTTTCCCTCAGTTTTTGACTTTGGTTTTCACATTTTCCCTCATTTAAAGAGGGGAAGAGGAATCGGAGGAAAACAGACCAGGGTAATTTTTTAACTTCATGCTCCTTGAAGGTGGACTCCATTGGGAAAATGCTGGTGATGCTTTTCAGTTGTGCTCTAGGAGGTTGCTGCGGAGCAGCACACAGCATCCTAATGTTTGTTCTCACGTGTTTAGCATGCTGTCATCTCCATCTGTGGAGACCAGAGATAGGAAACCAGAACCAGTTCTCCCACCCTCATCTTCCCCCCACAAGCATTCAGAGGTTGTTAGGCTTTTGTTCAGGTCACAAACTAAAATTAACTATCCTTTTTGCTGTGAATTTTCCAGAGGTGAATTAGAAAGTTACCCTGTAGACAAATGTACAACATAGAGTGCTCTCTTGGGACATCAGCGGTATCCCCAGGGGTCGGTAATGGGTCTGGTCTTGTTTAACATCTTC